GTTTGGCAATTCTTAATTTCTGGAGGAAGCGGACCACTGAATCTATTCTGGTCCAATTCAATGCCAGTAAGTTTCATCAAGTTACACAACTCTGATGGAAAGCTGCCACTAAACCTGTTTCCAATGAGACGAATTTGCAACAACGATTCGCACTTCAAGATCCCGGTAGGTATATTTCCATAAAGGTTATTTGACACCAAGTTCAAGATGATCAGGTTAGAATGACGACATAGATGGGGAGGTATTCGTCCAGTCAAAAGGTTGTCCGAAAAGTCGACCACCCACAGCGGGCTATAACGTCCAAGTCCTTGAGGAATGGTGCCACTCAAACTGTTTTCGAAAAGCTGCAATTGACTCAATGCAGGCATATACTGAAACCCGAACGGAACAGGACCCTTGAGGTTGTTGATTGAAAGATCAAGTTTAGTCAAGTTACTCAGGCTACTAAGTTCATTTGGTATAACACCAGTCAGCTGATTTTGAAAAAGATACAGTAAACGGAGACCTTTTATGTTACTAAACTCTTTAGGTATCTCACCACTCAAATAGTTCTCTGAGAAGTCGATCTCCAATGCCTGAGAAAGGTTCCCAAGCTCCCTCGGAATGGTTCCGTTCAACGCAGTCCGGTATATATACAACTTCTTCAAAGAGCTTAAGTTCCCAAATTCCTTAGGTATGGATCCACCAACATTGTTCTGATACAGAGCAAAAACCGTTAGACTCGTACAATTACTGAGCTCTTTCGGTAGAACGCCAGAAAACTGATTCTCCCAAAGAATCAATTCAGTCAAGTTTCTAAGCATACCAATCTCCTTTGGTAATTCCCCTTCTAGCTGATTTTGAGCAAGTCCAAGCGTTTCTAAGTTCTTACACTGACCTATTTCAGCTGGTAAGCTTCCCGAAATCGCATTTTGTCCTGCTCGAAACATCCTCAAGTTCTTGAGATTCCCAAACGAACGAGGCAATGGCCCTGTTATGTTGTTCGTATATGCAACTAATTCAAACAAGGATTCTAGATTCCCAATCTCCTCAGGAAAAGAACCATGGATTCTATTATTACATATATTCAACTTAACCAATGAAGTCAACTTCCCCAATTCAGATGGAAGTTCCCCATCAAACTTATTGTTTTGCAGAAAAAGATACTCCAACCTCATACAATTCCCGATCTCTTTCGGTATACTTCCCGTGAATCCATTGAAGGAAAGATTAAGATAAGTTAGATGGATTAATTCACCAACACTCGAGCTTAAAGGACCCGAAAGATTCTTTGAGCTCAAGTCAAGAGAAAAGACCACTGGTTCCACACCAGAAGTACAGTTCACACCGGTCCATCGGCACGGTGTTCCATCGCTCGGATCCCAATTTCCCAATGAACCATACGGATCAGAAAGACCATTTTTCAGCTCCAAGAGAAAATACCCTTCTGAATTCAATCCATGTGAAGTATTAAACAGAAAAGCAAGAAGCAGCAAACTCAACATTTTAACAACCATCCGTCCAACCAGAGCTACAACATGATCATACAACAACAGTTCAATACCTGCAAAAGGGATTCAGACAAGAAACAAGAACACAATGTTGACAAAGGGAACCATCCATCCGACATCTTAGTCCTTCAAATCATGATAGATTTCAGAAAGAAAGAACACAATGGAATCCAAACAAGACAATTATCCATTAAAAAGAATCCAAATATAGTTTTCCACGAAACAAACAAACATAAGTGTCCTATTCATCTAAAAGGGGGGCATCAGGCAAGTCAAATCACAGGAATCTATGAAACGCATATACGACAAACTGTTAAAATCCAGAGATGAACTGAATCAACCAACAAAAACCAATTAACATCAAGAAGGTTGAGAAAGAAACAAAAAGAATACCTCTCAACTAGCGATGAAAAATCAGCATGAGTCGCCATAAACGAAGTCCACCGCAACCAAACAGAGGCGGATGAATCCTAGAATCAAGGAGGAAGATTTGAACGCCTTTATTTGCGGCTTTTTGAACTCGAAAAAGCAGAAGAGTGCAAAAGAATCACGATCAACAACGCAGAGATTTGAAGTAGTTCATCAATGATGAAGAGTAAGAGCGAAATTAAGGGAGATTGTAATCTAATAAAGAAGAAAAGGGATGGATTAAGAGGATTGATTGGGTGCAAATGAAAAAGAGATTAATTAGGGTCAGATTAAAGCAAGAATCGTGCTTCCCCTTCAGCAATCTCCGTTGAGTATGATGGAGCTCATCCTGGTGTATCATTCATTAGCAACCAAAAATTGTTTTAACTTTCTTTCTCTCTTTGTTTCACAACAGAAGGAAATTTCCTATTCTTTTAGGTTTCTCCTTTTCTAAAGATTGTTAGATATAAATAGTAATTTTTAATTTTTTTATATCTTTTCTTTATAAAAATAAAAAAAAGTTTTAAATATATTTCCACGACCAAATTTAATTTATATTTATATTTTTTAATTCATTTTTTTATAAATAAAAAAAAATTGAGTTTGTAAATACTATTTCCCATTATCTAATTTTTATATATATTTTTAAAAATGAAGCAAATTTTAAAAACTAAAAAAAAAAAAAAAAAAATAGTTTTCAAAACTTTGTTATCATTTTTAAAATTTAATTGAAAATATATAAGTGGATATAAATAATATTTGCTGCAACTTTCCAAATTTTTATTTAAATTTTAAATAACAAACATTTATATTTAAATCTATTTTTAAAAATATGGTGTATTATTATTGTAATTTTATGTACAATTATTATTTTACGAGAGATAATATTTACCAATTTTAATATCTTAATATAAATAATATGAATAAAAATGTATATATAACGTCGAGTTATTGAATGAATGCATGTCGAAGACAACTAACAAAGATGACGTAAAAATCACAATTTTCGGACGTAATCAGAAATGACCATGTGTTAATTTAGATCTTTTCGTATCTCCTACAGTAAAATGTGAAATTATTGTCGGTAATTAACAGTGGTTAAAAAAATAATAAATAAATTTAATGGAAGAGCAACATGGATGGATTGGAGCAAAAAGAGTGGGCCCAAGATGATCTGATAAATCGGCCCATTTATGGCCCACTCAGTTGGATGGTGGGCCCGCGGAAACCCAATAATTAAAAATATATATATATATATATATATTTAAAGGTCTAAAAAAAAGCCAACGTCAAAATCAAACGGCTCACGCTTGCTTAGATTTGAACAACCAATCATCAGCCGTTGGAAAGGAATACCACAGCATTCTTGTGGGACCCACTATAATTATTGTTTTTATTTTTAATAAAAATGTGAACGTGAGAATTTTCTAACACGCTTTAGACATCTTCCCTCTTTTTTTTTTTTCTTTTTTTTTTTTTTTTTTTGGGTATGAAATTTTATAATATTTCCATTATTTTTAGTTGTGGATGACCTTTAATAATTGGGTAGAGACTATAATAGATTTTAAAATCAAATAATAATTAGATCGACAGACAACAAAAATAAGAATTGGGTGAAAGATCGAACCATGAAGCAAATGAGAAGAGAAAATTTTGGGTCGAAGTAAAGAAGTACTCGAACATGAGTTTGTCACAACATAGTTCGAGCATAGAGCTATAAAGCTATAAACAAAAAATAAGGAAATGGGAGTTTAGATTCAATTTTCAAAGGCTAAAACATTAGTCGAGACTGATCATAGGGCCATAACTCGTTGAGGCTAACCATAAGAGGATAAATATGTGTGTGTGAATGAGTTCAACTACTATCGGAAAAGATTTAAACTTCTTACGATTTACTCAAATTTAGTTTTGGTGGGTATGAGTATTTCAATGGATGTTTGCATTTGAACACATTTTGAAACAGTGATTTTCATTCGCTTTTAACAACTTATGTGCAAAAACAATTTAGTTTGCTAATAATAATAAATAAATAAAAAAGTCAAATTTTGACTTTGGAAGAGTTGAAAATAAAAAACGTTTTTTTAAAGAAAATTAATACGTAATTGGGTGCAGTTGAAATTTGTTTTTTTTTTAATTATTTTGTTAATTTGTTATTTCCAGTTTGAAAAGAAAATAATTTGTGATGGGAGAGAGAGTTGGCAATTAATTTAAGATATTTAAAAAATATTAAAGCCATGTCTTTCAGTGGCAACTAAGCTATCTTCCATCTTTATCCTATTCTTTAAAATATATATATATATATTTAGTTTTATTATTATTATTATTATTATTATTTATCCCAAGTTGGTGGTTGGTGGGGAGGATATCAAAACACTCTTACACGGATGTGGAAACCTTCTCCAAACAAACACATACGCGTTTTAAAGCCTCGAAGGAAAGCTCAAAATGAAAAATTCAAAGAGGACAAGTCCACTAGCAGTGGATCTATAAAGATTTGAAGGAAAACTCGAAAGGGAAAGTCCAAAGAGGACAAGCCCATTAGCAGTGGGTCTACGCCGTTACAACCGACCTTTTTTTATTTGACGTTTTAAAAAAATTAAATATTTGGACTGACAACTAATAACCCCTCACCCATTTTCATTAATAGAAAATTGACTTAAAACATTTACACATTTCATTAATTTGTTAAAAAAAATATAAAATATATAAATATATAAATATAGAGGAAAGAGGAAACTGGGCCGGGCAATCCTAATGGGCCGGGGCAGGGTCTGATTTTCTTTTGATACCATGATAATTGATTCCCTCCAAAGAAAAAGTAATTACACAAAAAAAAAAAAATCATCATTATTTAATTGCATTCAGACAGCCATTATATTTTCAGTTCAGTTTTTATTTTCCACCCAATTTTCTCGCTTGCCAAACACAAAATTAATTGACAGATTTTGAATTTTCTCGGGAAAATCAAACCCAGAAAAAAGTTCATATTTTTACATACAAAAAACAAGTATTGTAAGGATTAAAAAATACCCCACAAACCCTAATTAAAATCTATGAAAATTATTATAAAAAAACCCTAATTTTCTATTTATGTGCAGAACCTTGAAGAACAGGGGAAAAAATGGTCTACAAGACAATCAAACACATTTTGTCAAAATTCCCTAATGAATTTTGGGCATTAAACAGAGAAATTTTGCACTAATTTTAAATCTCTGTCCCACAATAACAAACAAATGCCTAAAAATCTAAGCTAAATTAATGGCGGATGAAAAGGGAATAATCAAAACGCCCAAAATTGAAGCTTACCCTTTATCCATTGGATTCACCACCATACTTAACTGCTTCTGCCTCCTCATTTCCATCACTTTCCGGTGAGAATTCGAGTGCAGCACCGGCGAGAACGTCGGGCTACTTGCCGGCCGGTACTCCGGCACCAGCCGCCCTGACTTGAACCTAACCCCACAAGCATTACACAGCGTTTTCGGCCCTAATGGCCCCGCCCGCCATTGCGGCGTTTTCTCCGCTCCACAATGTAGGCATTTCCTCCCTATCGCCGTCGTCGTCGTGGTGGGTACTACTTGTTTAACATTCCTCGAACTGGGCTGCTGCTTGAACCAGAGATGGTGGCCGGAGATGTGCCGGCCACGACGGCGCTTGCTCCGAGCCTTGCTGGGAACTTTCAGGCCGACACAGCAGCTCATCAAAACGCTTCCGTGACTGCTTGACTTAGTACTGTTGGTTTCGCTATGGCTGCTGACTGAACTACTTTCGAGAACCGAAACTGGACTGTTCTGTTTCGAGACCATCGTCAATGGCGGCGGCGGGTGGTGGTGGTGGTCGGAGAGAATGTCGACAAACGTCGAGACGGCCGGAAATGCATCTTCGTTTGATAGCCACTCAAGTTCCTCCTCCCCACAATCCTCCTAAAGCACAAAACCAAAACGAGTTCGTTTCAGTAAAACTCGGCCTAAACCAACCGAGTTGACTCGGTCCTGTCTTTTTGGTCCACCAATAATTACAATAACAGTATCAACAATAAATAATAATAATAATAATAATTTAATTAAATTATTATGTTTTCTTTTAATACTGAGAGCCGGGGGTTACGAAAAAAAAGTGACGAAAAAGCCTAGTCGTATTCGTTGGAGAAATGTCGGGAGTTAGGGGCAAAAATGTCATTTCGATACAACACTTGTCTAAAATTATGGAGGAGAGGAGTGGCCGTATCAAGAAATTAAATATATTGATATTTCCACTATTATTATTATACAATTCAAAACCAACCACATGAAAAAGAACCCCATGACCAAAATACCCTCAACATTTCGAAATCCATACAGTGGCTTCCGAGGACATAAATGTCTTTTCAACTCAGCTCACTAGACTTCACTTTTCTCTTTACTAAACTCGGGCGAGTCAACACAATAACTCACTCCGTATCAACCCATTTTCAGAAACTCACCGGAGAGAATAAAAAGGAAAGAACTTACAAGCAAAATACGGCCGGAAGAAGTATCGTCCGGGAGGGAGCCGGCGTTGAACTCCGAGGAGTCGGCCGCCGTTGAAGATCTGGGTGGAACGACGTCGTCTTCTTCATCTTCCTCACCGATATCCGAAGAGAAATCCAGAAGGTCATCCATGAAAGCCAAAGAAGACTCCATTTCTGTTTCAGTTTCGTTTGAAGTTTGAAGAGAGAGAAAATCCTTTATTTGTGGAGAGAGAAAGAGCTTATCGTCAACACGCAGCCTTCGTGAGGGCTTTTGGGTGGTAGTGGGGGAAACGAACCAAGGGATGAAAGTCTCTCTCTCTCTCTTTCTCTTTCTCTCTCTAATAATAATAATAAATATTAAAAATATCCATTTCTTTTTTGGCTTTATAACGTATAGAAAGGGGGTAATCCTATGCGGATGGGCGTAGAGTTAAGCAAGTAGAAAGTGTTTGACTTTGACTTGAGAGTGAGTTGGCAGCTAATGAGAATGAGGTATCACCGAATTTTGCGTGGATCTGAGGGGTATGAAGAAGAAGAGTAGAATTGGAATTTAAGGGTGTCGGGAGGGGTAAATTAGGAAGAGAGAAAAGTATGTATGAGATCGATGGGTGTCTGGACGATGTTCACGATATGTCGTCGTTTTGCTACATCCAATGAGATTCGGCCACGTGGTTGGGTTTCTTGATTTAGTTTTTTTTTTATGGGAAGTTTGTTCGTGGGGCCCACAGAGACACCGCATGTGGCGGCGAGAATAGTGTACGAGCCCACGCGCTGAGTGATGGATTAAGAGAAAAGAGCGTGGGTTCCACGAGGGATGAGGGAAGGGTAATATTGTAAATTCGGAGTTGGGATTGGGGAACAGTAGTGCGTGCATGTGGGAGGATAGTCCAACGCCTTAAAGCCCCACCACGTCTTTCAACTACATAAAGTAAATATTGAGCCGACCGTACTTTAAATAAATAAATAAAATTATATATATTTATTTTTTTCCTTTTTAATTATTTAGTGAGATGACTAAATATTTGTATTAATGCCAAAGTGGATCAAAATTATATATTAATAAATAATGAACCAAAATTAGGCATTTTGGAGTTTATAAGTATGAAAACCATTAAATTTGAAAAGACAGATACTAAAAATAGAATTTTAAACCCAAAAAAAATGGAATAAAATTAAATATATGCTCTTCAAATTTAGGATTTGAGACCAGATTCCCTATCTGTATTAGCTGAATCTGATTGTCACATTTCTGATTTGGTGTCAACCTACCCATTATAGATTATATTATTTATAAATACTAACAAAATAAGTTATTTCATTACGGTGGTGGTTGGCTTCTGGTCACGTGCTCTAATCCTTTGAGTTACAAGCCTTACCCCGTCTTCATTGGGTCTGTTCTTGAATACCATAGAAAAAGGAAGCTCTAATCCTTTGAGCTACAAGCCCTACCTTGTCTCTACCAGATCTATTATGCCCTACTTAGTCTCTGTTGGATTTGTTTTTCGGGGAACCTTAGAAAAATAAACCTCTCCCCATCCATTTTTCATTTCGGATAAGGAGACATGAAAGCATCTCTATAAGAACAGACCCTACCCCGTCTCCATTGGATCTATTCTCAGGGTACCCTAAAAAAAGGAACCTTTCTATAACCCATAATTTATTTTAGGAGAGTGTCATGTATTGACAAATTTTTATCTAAAATACTAAAATTATCCCATAATTTAAATTTGTGCATTTATTTTAGTGAATCAAAATTCGAAAAAAAGAATCATAAAAACATAGATACAATGACATACCCAAGTGATAAGTACAAACTCATATCTTTCTTCAGCGGGAGGTTTTCATACTCGGGCTCACTTCAACCCAAAACTAATCGTTTACTCGTTCCATCTATGTCATTATATCTTCCCTTCAATTTTATATTGTTAACCCAATGATCAAACTCAGGTAGCAACATTTTCATCCTGCATCAGTTAGAGAGAAAAACGAAACATTTCTTATAAGAGTGTGAGAACCTCTTGAAGCTAACAATACATAACGGGTCAAAATAGACAACATTAACTAGCAATGGACTTTAACGGTTACACGGGAAGAAAGAATCTTTCATAGAAGAAGTAAGTTAAGTGGGGAAGTTGCAAAAGCGACAAAGAAATAGCCTTTTATTAAAAACTAGGTTTATGAAATGGGCTATGGGCCCTAATTTTTTAAAGTTATTTATTGCAACTGGGCCCAATATTTGATCCAGGCCCACAAGTTAGAATTGGGCTTGCACATCACTTTTTCATTATGGGCCCACCCTGATATAACCCCAAAACTAATCTCAAATAAAAATTTTATTTTGTCTCATCTCTTTTTAATTTTTTTTTTAATTTTTTTTTATTTTTATTATATAAATAATGAAGAACTATTGTGTAGAGACAACATAAACGATGTTCCGAACTCGGGCTCAACATTTTAACCTCGAAACTTTAAGTGAAAGTCTTAAAATATGTATATGCTCTCTCGATAAAGGTTTTTTTTTTTTTATTGTTTTACGGAGATCTTCTATTTATTTACTAATTTTCGTTTTTAACCTAATTTATCTAACGGGAAGAAATCTCTCCTCACTCACTCCTCTACTCCTGTAATTTTTCAATCTTACGAGTTAAATGAACTATCTCTAATCATTGTTAAATTTACAAAACCATGCTATAATCTGATATTGAACACATATCAAATGTATTCGAGTTTCTCCTAATATTACCGTCGTCGTCACTCGTACGTAACGAATTTGAATATATATATTATAAAGAAATCAACATTGTTTACTACGTTTTTTTGACACCCATGTACTTGCTTTGAAATGTGAACACTCTCAATCATCCACAAGATGCCATGACCATTGACTTCACCTTTCAACATCACAATAATAGATAGATACTTCGCCAATTTGCCAAAACTTCAAGGTCTAAATTGCAAATTATATATATACATACCTGACCACCATTATGAGTTATTAAAACATTATATATATATATATCTATATATATTCAAGTATGTTTTGACTTTTGACTTTCAACTTAATTAATTGTAACGAAAAGAAAAAAAAATTATTTAGAGCGACATGGACCGAGGTAGCTAGGGAGCTAATGGGATCTACTAACTCTTATGGATATGGAAGCTCGTAGATTAAAGATTTAAAAGTGACTTCATTGCGAATTTGATCTAATAATTATTGAAGAACAAGACCTTTAGATCTAAAATTTTTAAGAACTCCAAAACAATAAGAAATCAAACTCTGTTAAAGTAAGATATGGATTACCTTATTAATCAAACAGCTCAAGTCAAAAAATTTATTTGAGATTCAAATCGTTTCACTACAAAAATTGATCGAGTCATATGTGAATGGTTATATGCAAGAAACCTAAATTCGAGACCCGTCAATTTTAAATGTAACTCGAGACCCATCATTTGTGTCGATTGTAAATGTAACTGAAGACGGATCAATTTTTTTTTTAATAAATTGACTTAAAATTTATATAATTTTAAAATATAGAGAGAGAAAAAACCCTAAATAATAATAATGACATCACCATTGTGTTGATGCCTCTATAAATGTCGGATGAATGTGTAAATAATCCCACGCTCTGTTTCTCTCCGGCAGAGAGACTTCCTTGCTCTGTTTTTTGAGTTTTCAAAAATGGCAGCTCCAAACTGCACACTGACTTTGGCCCAGCTCCTCGGCCCCAATGTCACGAACTCCGGCGCCGCTGCCTCCTTCATCTGCGATCAATTCTCTACAACCACCACCAACTTCTCCGACACCAAATTCGCCGTCGACACCGTCTACCTTCTCTTCTCCGCCTACCTCGTCTTCTCTATGCAACTCGGCTTCGCCATGCTCTGCGCCGGCTCCGTCCGTGCTAAAAACACCATGAACATCATGCTCACCAACGTCCTCGACGCTGCCGCCGGCGGCCTCTTTTACTACCTCTTCGGCTTCGCCTTTGCCTTCGGCAGCCCCTCCAACGCCTTCATCGGCCGCCATTTCTTCGGCCTCAAGTCAATCCCCTCCGCCACCCCCACCCCCACCGATTATAGCTTCTTCCTTTATCAATGGGCTTTCGCCATCGCCGCCGCCGGCATCACCAGCGGTTCTATTGCCGAGCGGACCCAATTCGTTGCCTATTTGATCTACTCCTCTGTTTTGACCGGCTTTGTTTACCCGGTGGTTTCCCACTGGTTTTGGTCTCCAGACGGTTGGGCCAGCCCCTCCCGGTCCAATGGAAATCTCTTATTCGGAACCGGAGTCATCGATTTTGCCGGTTCGGGCGTGGTTCACATGGTGGGTGGAATCGCCGGACTTTGGGGTGCTTTAATAGAAGGACCAAGAATCGGTCGGTTCGAAAAAACTGGACGATCCGTTGCGCTACGAGGTCATAGTGCTACGTTAGTCGTTCTCGGTACCTTCATGCTTTGGTTCGGTTGGTACGGGTTCAACCCCGGTTCATTCACCAAAATCCTAGTTCCGTACGGTGTGGGTGATTTCTACGGACAGTGGAGCGCCGTCGGTCGGACTGCCGTTACAACCACCCTCGCCGGTTGCACAGCAGCGTTGACTACCCTTTTTGGAAAAAGAATTCTCTCCGGCCACTGGAACGTCACCGACGTCTGCAACGGATTACTCGGCGGCTTCGCCGCCATAACCTCCGGCTGCTCAGTGGTGGAGCCATGGGCGGCAGTGATATGCGGATTTGTGGCGGCGTTGGTGTTAATCAGCTTGAACAAACTGGCGGAGAAGGTGAAATTTGATGACCCATTAGAGGCAGCACAATTGCACGGCGGGTGCGGCGCGTGGGGGATAATTTTCACAGCATTGTTCGCGACAAAGGAGTATGTGAACGAGGTGTACGGCGGAGAGATCGGGCGGCCACATGGGTTGTTCATGGGCGGCGGAGGGAAGTTGCTGGCGGCGCATCTTATACAGATTTTGGTGATTACTGGGTGGGTAAGCATCACAATGGGACCATTGTTTTTCGGGCTTCATAAACTGAAGCTACTGAGAATCTCGCCGGCGGATGAGATGGCCGGAATGGACATGACACGACACGGTGGATTTGCTTACGTGTACCATGATGAAGATGAGTCACCAGCGAATGGGGTCCAGATGAGAAGGATTGAGCCAAGGGACACCAGTCCATTTGGAAATTAAGAAATTTGGGGTTTCTTGACCAAGTTGGCTATAAATATATTATCCTTTGGAAATTATTTTTTACCCCACACTACTATTTTTTTTGTATGTATTTTTTAAAAAATAATGATACAAAAAAGTTTAGTAGTGAACACTTTTTTTTTTT